AAGCTCAGCGCAAGGGGAGTTGACAATAAATCCATTAGGGTTTAGGGTTTAGGGTTTAGGGATTTAGGGTTTAGGGTTTAGGGTTTAGGGATTAGGGTTTAGGGTTTAGGGTCCTGCGCTCACTAAGGCAATTGATACCTTGAGCGTTTTGCTTCCAAAGTATCGATTCATCGATGCTCATGGGCAGATAGGCCAGTTGAGCAGGGCCCAGGATCCAGAGTTCTCAGAGGTAGGGCCTTCATTGCTGCTGCTCCTAGCCCTACATAGCCCTACGGCTCTGCCCGTGAGTGGCACTACTAGCATGGTTTTTCCCTTTTTTCTGCTGCACTACTATGAACCCCCTAAACCCTTAAGTCCTTAAACCCCAATTTAAACCCTAAGCTTGCTACTACCTTCATTCCACTGCTTTCCATACACGGCTCCTTTGGGTGCATGAACCTGGCCAGTGCAAGTGAGCGAGGCACACCTTGACGGCAGCAGTCCACGTACTGCCAACCTGGCTCGTGACGGCCCACGAGGAGGGAATGCCTCAGGATACCCTTTCAATGGTATATGGTCCTTATTTTGGGTATATAGAGGGTAGATGGAGGGTTTAGGATTATAGGGACCCCCAATATGATGTCTCAAAGTTGGAGGTCAACTTGAGTAGCATTTGATTTGGGGATACTATGGTACCCAATATAGAGTAAGATGATATCCTCCTTTTGGTGTATAGTATTTTACATAAGGAATATAATCTTACTAGGTTCGACCACCAAAAAACGCTACTCACTTGAGGAAATCCTGTTGTAGGGGGTTCTATTATTCATTCCCACGGGGGTCGAGCATGACACTCACATTCCAGACCAACTGGTCCATGGCACGTTGGCGCCCTGCAGGCTGAGCACGACATGGACAACCTGCGTCCTGTTGATGTGATCCAGCGAGGCCCCAAACATCTTAGTCCCCCTTAATTAGATAGAATATGGAGTATATGGGGGTGTTCTTACTTAGATAGAATATGGGGTATATGGGGATCTTGTGATAATATACCCAAAGCCATATTCTACCTACTTAAGGGGGACTCTACTCTACTAAGGAACGGAAGTGGTACGCAGGGCTTTGGACATGCCATTTCACAAATCCATTATTCAAGCGTTGACAAAGATCCCGAAGAAAGCCAGCCGTGGTGATAGCTCTGACCATGGATTGTGAACCCTAAACCCTTAACCGCTCCAAACACGTAAATGGGCACTGTACGTTTCAACTGATCTTCATCTCCAGTTCTGCGCTGTCCTGGGAGGCAGCAACTGCGATGCAACGTGCGCCCAGCCGGAGCATTTATGGCAGTGAGCATACTTGAGGACTTCTCAAGCAAGTGGGTCACCTTATAGGCGAGTCTTTAGAATTGTGAGATATTCTTGGGTTGTGTGGAGACCCCATATATATATATGTATGTGTGTATATATATATATATTGTATTATATTATATTTTATTATGTTATGTTTTACTATATTATACTCTATTATATTATATTATAGTATATGATATTATATACTTTATTTATACATATGCTTGACCCATGCGCGTCTCCATGATTTCAGGTACGTCCTTCGACAACTATACGCGCAACTGGCATGTACTGCAACCACAGACTTCTTGCTTGATGCTTCCCGCGGCTTGTAGTTGTCAACGAATATGATTCCAATATCGTGTGAACTATGGAATACAGTTATATAGGTTGGGGGGCGACCTTATTGAACTGTAGTCCAGGGCTCATGTGCCCACAGTGATGCCAAGATTTGGGTAGACAGTCTTTAGGTCGTCGTGTGAAGGCTAGCCTGCGGTGTCTCTCAAAGTCATTCCTTCCTGTTCCCTCATACGGCTTCTCCAAATCCCTAAGCCCTGATCCCAAAACCCCAAATTCCTAAATAGTAATTTCCATTTTCTTTCCCATTATCCCGACATAACCCCAACATACTGTAGTAGTTTCCATTTACGCCCTAGATGCCTTTACCCAAAATCCCTAAACTCTGAGCCC